TAAATATCGTTCAAGAAGTTGAAAGTTGCAGAAGATTCGATTTCATGTCCACTTGCTGAGGATGACGAACTGGAAACGGCGGAAGAGAAAGAAGAATGTATTGAGCAGATAAGTTTCTTCAATTTTCTTTTCTTTTTTCAGAAATAAGGGGACGCTTTATTTCTTATTTATCATTGCTTGATTACCATGAACAATTTTAGCAATTAAACCAAGCTGGCCTTAACACAACCGAAATTTTGAAGCGAAAAGAGCAGGCAACATTATCGCAGAAGCGTTCTTTCCTTGTCCGAATGGTTTCCGATCCAAAATGCTATAATCCAAAAATTGTGCGTCATTTAACTATGAGTGGTTTCCGGAAAATGAACGAAGACGTTGTTCGAGATGTATCGTTACGGTTATTCTTTGTACTGTAGGAGTCATTCTAGCAAATGCATTGAAGTAATTAAATTACTACAACTGATTTGACACATGTTGATACATAACAAAATTAAATAATCATCAATTTAACAAAACTATTTGCAGGGAAACGATTGGCAGATCAAAAATAGGAGTGACCGGTTTGAAATATTTCAAATGTGGTGAGAATGTTTTTAGAATTCATAAATAATTTGTATAAATTACTTCAAAAAAATTAGTATGAATTGCTACAACTACTAGTAACCTTTCTGAGTGTTATTCCAACCTAGAAATTCTGCTTTAAAGCCGAAATTTTTGACTTGATACATTTCTTTGTCATTCTTTGTCTATAATTTAATATCAAGAAATTTTCAAATGATAAATGTAGAATTTTTTGGACAAATTTTGATTTGATAAAGATACAAAAAACTGTTCTAACTCCTAGTTGTTCTAAACAACTCTAAAACATTTTTAAGATAATGTGAATACAGCGAGCTCATCGTCTGCACCATCAGTGGAGGAAGAAGTTATCACTTTTCCGAATACAACTAGAAATTAAACACTAGCGTTAAAAAAAAAAAGAAGAAACTAGAATATTTTACTAACTTTGTTTTAGTCGTCTGTACTTCCTTGTATGAGAAGGTTAGTGAAGATACAGAAAAGCCTGCTTCCGTCAACGACAAAATGATGTCCAAAACGTTTTGTTTTGGGTTTCTTTTACCTTATTTGAAATTGAAATCTGAATCTGCAACTTAAACCTTCTTACTTACTAGTTCCTCACAATGTTTTTAGATTGTAATAATGATATCAACAGTGTTAGCATTTATCCAATTTGGCATAATTTTGGTTCAATTGTAATAAGAAAATGTCTATGATGGCTAAAAACTCGTTGTTCAAATACTTTTTTCAGTTCTTTGCGAATAAATTGCTTTTGCTGCAGCGAGAAGTACACATATTATGACTGTGGATACATTTAAATTTAGGCTAGTAATTTTCCATTACTGACTAAAAAAAAGTCAGGTCTTTGCATAAGTAAAGTTTAGAATTTTGTTTATCATTGATTTTTGGGTTCACGTTTGGTTTAATAAAATGTAAAGTTATAGACCACAGATTTTGGCTTTCCTGGATACTAATTTCGGTTTTATATTCATTCTTGTCTTAGTTTTATATTAAAACAGTTCTCACTAAAAAAAAAGAAAAAAACCTCAACTTGAAATAAACGATAAACTATTACAAAATCTTTATCAGTGATCTAAAAATTCGACGAATTTTAAAGCATAAAGCAAAATTAGATTTGGTTATAGAAAAAATATTATGATTTCAAAGATTTGGTTGTGGCACTTTAAGAAACTGAGATAAGATACAGGATAAAGAGCCATGCAGAAATTGAATAACTCTGTTTAGAAAAATTAGTATCATTTTGAATATTGCTCGCAGGATACCTAATTCATACCAAATTGGACCAGATTTTTGCTGAAAATTTAGTCTCAAGACATTTTCTCTTTTGCTACTCTCACTTTCGTTGACCAAGCAACATACCGTCAGATCACATCATTCGAATTTCAATCGACATAGTGGATATTTGTTTCCTTAGGTGGTACTGTGGAAAAACTCCGAAAATCATAATGCAAATTTTCTGTCGGATTATCGAAATTAAAGTTACGTTCAATCAAAATTTCCACAATATCCAACAAACGGGATGGCAAATCTTATAAGTAAAATTAAAGCAATGAAGAGGATATATGCTAACAATGGACAGCGTAAAACAAAAACGTCTCAGTACCTACACAATGGACAGTCCCAAAGGGTAGCCAATACCTCCATGATAGCCCCGATGGAGCTTACAAAGCTCTTCCCTAATCCTTATATATATATATATATATATA